AGGACGACTAATAATCAAACTTAGGCTTGCTACTTAAATGGGCCAAATCAGTCCATCAAGCATTTTCATGCTTAAGTCCATTAAAAACGTTAGTCCATCAAGCCTTTTCACTTTTAAGTCCATTAACAACCTTAGTCCATATGTTCAATGTCAACCCATTCGGCTTTGGGTCTACACTATTTACTACCCCATAAGTACATAAATTAGCTTCAAGCACTAATTGTACTTCAAAGCATTCAATACTCACTCTAGTATTTGCTTCGTGTACTAGCTTAGAGTCTTAGACATCAGTGAGGTTTTCTCAGACACACCTCATAGGCCAATTAACGGGTTTTGCTTTGCATGTATCCTCAGCTCAATTCCCGATTGGACCAAGCTCGTCATCAGCCTATAATCAAAAGGTCAAAATCTTGACGACATTTTTTAACCGAAACAATAGTCATAATCAAAACTTGATAATCGACTCGAAAAACAACAAATAACATGAGGGGAGGGGGGCAAGACTAGGCATAAACCAATACACGTATATGGACCTATTTTAATGAGTGCATAATTAGAGAAATTCATGGTTTCATAATGCACTTTGCACCTCATCACTAAAGGGGCCCCATATATTGGTCACCTTTTTCCCTCTTTTTCTTCCCATTCTATCGTTGTTATTGTTATTGTATGGCCCCAAACCCACCACCAAAGCCATAGGTAGTAGATGGGGGGCAATCACCACTTTTTCTCCTACATTCTATTTCTCCTTCATTCATTCCTTGCCACGTCACGTGCACAATGTGATTAATTTGAACATCTTTTCCAATATTCTAGTCATGTACTTTCTCACCCAACCAATTTTCAATTTTCAAACGTTAATTAATCAATTTTAAAAACTAATTTGATGATAACGTTATCTTGTCTTGATTGGATTATCTTTCCACGTGTCACTCAACAAGCTATTGATTTGGATTCCACGTATTTGTTACCCAACTATCTTGTGTTTTTGTACCATCACTAGATCTTCCAATCAAGAATATGCCATTTATTTTTAGTACTTTTATAATTTATTTTTTTTAGTATGGTTTTTATTTTTATTTTTTTAATTTATTTTTTCCCATTAACTTTCACTTCTATTTATACCTTCCGTTTTATCTTTATACCTGCCGACTTTTTGGTTGGATTTTATTTTTAATTAAGAAAGTTAATACCGGTTTAGCAAGGTCAAATAGATAGTAATTTAATATTATTGGATTTGGATGATTTGACTCTAATATGATCTAGTTTTGAACCGAATTGACTATAAGGGTCTATAATTAACATTGATTACTAGTTCTGAATTGACCTAAATCCAAAATGATTTGATAAGAGCATGTTAAACGAAAGCGTCTTTTTCTCTCTAGTGTTGTCACACCGCTGCCCCCCTGCCATGTATTAGCAAGAAACCCATGATGCCAGATACAAAGTAATTAAGAATAAAATAATTAGTCTTGCTTCTTCAAAAAAAAAAAAAAAAAAACAAACTAGGACCAAGCAAAACTATCCGAAAACTCGATCCGTAACTGATCTGAAATTTAAGGTACCCGATCCGATAACATTAGCTGTTTAGGTACCTAATCCGATAATTTGTTATCGGATCGGGTTTGGTTATTGCGTATCATTTTAAAATTAACGGTTACTCGATCCGATTTGATAAACAATTTTTTTTTCCTACTTAAATCTAGTTATCCAAAATATAAACTCTTACTTTATCTCATAATCTCTTTATTATATGAGCGATTAGTAATATAATTAATAATTTTGTCAAGATCATGTGATATTGTTGTTAATTAGTGTTGAATGATATCATAATAACTACATTATTAAGTTTAATTATCATTATTGAATATCATATCGGGTACCCGATAACCGATCCGAAATCCAGGTACCTGAACTTAACGGTTCGGTTTATAGATATCATTTTTAGTGATATTGGTTATCGGTTACTCGAAGCATTAGTGTTAACGGTTCGAGTACCCGCCCCATACTCACCCCTATTTATATGATCAACTAGATTAATTAGTTGGTCAAAGTCTTTAAGAGTATACTTAAAATGTGGGATCAAATTTCATTTATATCAGTTATCTTTGTGTCTCTACGGCCAAAGAGAAAAAGAAAAAAAAATCGCTCCCTAATAATAATTAAATAAATTATAATAAAAAAAAACTAATTAAGCTCACCGTTGGTCTATATAGAGCAGGTCTCATGTCCAATACAATATTATATGATCCTTTGCCTAATCACTAATTAGTATACTCATCAACAAATAACTGTATCCCCTTTATAAAAGTGTCACATTAGTCAACAACAATCCAAAAGCCGGTAATTAAAATGGTGGGAATTCTCTAGTTGATTAAAAGACATAATTGTCCTTAATTTAGTAATGAATATTAAATTTGAGATTTAAAACAACAAGGATAAAATAGTAAATTTGGCCTTTAGTCTTAATTTTATTTCCATTTATGTGCCAAACAAGAGATTGAGGATATTTGATAAATTCCCACTTACCAATTCTCATTTTCACTTCCACTTTATATTCTCCAAATTTCCATTTCCACATGCCAAACCCCAGGTCATAGTAAGATTGTGAGAGAAGTGGAGCAACTAGTGTAGGTATCACTTCAACATGACCATTTGGATATTTTTCACCCCAAGGTTTGATGGCTAGACTGTATGAGTATAGTAAAAAAAAGGTGATGGAATTGATTATGAGGATTTATGACCATTTTGAATATACTTTCTTTAAATATAATTGAGTAAATTGACATACATGAATGAAAATTGAGTTGAATTTTATGAATGAAGGGCATAATTATATACTTTGTAACCTATATCACAATTTTCAGACATCTTATTACTTGTATAAAATAAATTTGGGGTCAATTTAACAACTCTCTAAATTAAAACCTTAAAATTTAAAAGCTACTCTCACTATCTCAAATTTTTTTTTTTTAATAGAAAATAATAAAAAAATACACCATTGCATAGTGACTTGAGGTATGCAAAAATTTACTCCTGTAATTTATTCAAATGTCATTAAATGTCCGTATTATTGGTGACACTATAGTTTCTGCACAAAATTTGAGGCTCAACTTATAATCAATTTTGATGAGTGACTTAATAAAAAGACTAAAAATTAAATCTATATTAATTTGATGTAGTGACTCAATAAAACAATTTAGATTTTGATATAAAAGTGACTCAACTCTGTAAAAGACTTTAGATTTAATGTACAGTAATAATGACTCAATAAAAGACTTTTTTTTTTTTTTTTGAACACTCAATAAAAGACTTTAAATCAAGGGTGTTTTGTGAGAACATTATAAACCACGTATCAAGTGAATTTTCAAAACCAATAATAATAATAATAATAATATTAATAATAATAATAATAATATTGAAATCTATTCTACTATACTCTGTTGAAATGTACTCAACTCTGTCAAGAAGCTTAAAAGAATAGAACCTTATTAGTTATCACTAATCACCAAAAACAGTAGGCCATTATGGAATTCAGTAACTTACCAAACAAAACAAAAGTGTACTATAACGTTGTCATAACACTAATGGGCAAGTGTGCGACCAATTAAGCTATGCACCCAACATTTGTTCGTTACACGTAAGTAGAGGTGTCAAAACCGAACCGATCTGAAAAAAATCATCCATTTTAAATTGTAACCAATTTAATTTGATCCGAGAAATTCAGAACCTAAATCCGATCTGTAACCGACCTAAAATAAATCCGAATCCGAATTTAACCCGATTTAAACTTAACCCGGCACCGATTTAACCCAACTTGAACTCAACCCGAACCCGATATGACCTGACTTGAAGTCAACCTGATCTGAAAATGACCCGACAAATAACCGACTTAATCCGATCTATTTTAACCCGAACTGATATTAACCCGACTTGATTTTAAACCGATCCGATTTTAACCCGACCATAATTTTAAACCTAACCTATTACTGACCTTTTTTTGTCAAATTCTTATACTACTATATATTTACAAATTTACTAATTATTAATAAGTTAGAAAGTTTAAAATTCTAACAAATATCTTATACAAATTGAATTAGTAATAAAGCAAACTAATAGTACTCGTAGCCTCATGGAGATTAAACAATTGAAGAATAGTACCTTAAAAAGAGGACATTCTTTTTTGTATATCACCATATGTGACTATCATCTATCAATCTATCAGTCTATCACTAGTTCATTACTGATCGTCTCACTTATGTGCGTAAGTATGATAAGTTATCGATAATTATTCAATATAAATTTGGCTCCAAGATAAACATTACACAAGAATTGATTGAATGAGAAAACTAATTCTTCACATTTCGTAATAATTAACCACGCAATATGAGAAATGACACATGAATGACTTGATATCGACCTAATAATAAGGTAAAAATTCAATAATTACTCTAGTTTAAAAATGAGCTTATTCAAATATTGATTTTGGTCAACTCGACCAAAATCTAAATAAACACGGAAAGGATTTGAATCGAAATTGACCAAATACTGAATCAACCTTATCTTAATCAAACCGAACTTGGCCGAACCAAAATCATCCGAACCGAAATCAAACTGACCCAAATTCATCCGACCCGAAATTAACCCAATCAAACCCGTTTTGAACCCGATTCCAATTTATCCGAACCGAACATGAACCGGTTTGGAGTTGACCCGACCCATATCCGACTTGGACTCGATAAACCATGACCCAAAATTTGACCCGACTTGAATCTGACTCTGATTCGACCCGATCCGAGTTAAAAGAATAATTTTGACCAGCACATATCTGACCTGAATAGACCCGACCCAAACTCCATCCGGTTATTCAAATTAACACCTCTAACACACAAGTGCTACTTGTTCTCACATCATCCAAGTCCCAATCCGAATTTCCTGACCCGGTTTAACCAATTTGGACCGTATAATTGTAAATACCAACAAAAAATAAGCAGGAAAAAAAAAAACAACAAAAAAAAATAAATAAATAAAGATGCTGCTTCAAGCTTCAACTGGCATCATCAAGCTGTGGTGGAGAGAGAAGAGAGGTAGAGCACATCATAAACTCCCTTCTATTTTCCCCACTTGTATAACAAAAAACCCATCAAATAAATCTTCACATTGTTCATTATATATCCCAATTTACTACTTTTCTCACAAATTTAATTTCATCAAGAATATCAAAATCAAAGTTAGTGGGATTATTTTTGTTTAGTGGGTTGAATTCTTGACGGAAAAGCGAAAAATACCCAAGAATTTATGTGGGTGAATTTGCTACAATTTGTCGATATTTTTTAATCCCCCATTGAAAATATTAAGGTTGGTTTAGCTCATTTTTATTCTTCTTAATTACTGCATTTTATTTTTTTTGTTTATTTATGATTGATTTTGTTGGGTTTTGGGAGTTGAGTGTGTTGGTTGTGTCATGTGTGTTTTTAGCCTTTTTGGAATAATGAAAATTTGTGCAGTGGGTCAAGCATACCTAAGATGGAAATTAACTTTGTAATCTTTGTATTAAAAAATTGCATTAGCAATAAATTAATCAAAATTATTCAACCCGTTTACCTTATTAAGCAATATGGTCCATGCATGTTAATTTATTCATGAAATCTTATCTAATGATTCATACTTGTCCTTCATCAAGTATAAATATTTTATGTTAATCTTGTTTTGTTTAAGATTTTGTAGTGATGGGTATCCTAAGATATGTTACTAGTGAAGTGGGTTTTTTGTTGTAATTAAGAATGTCTTAAGTATGATTTTAATGGTGTGTTTTTGCCTACTTTTACATTATTATTTGCAGAAAGTTGAAAAGGGTTTGCCTTTTGGAGATTGATAAATTCATAGTATTGATAAGATTGTGCATGTAAAAAGGAGGAGAATATACTAAGTTGTTATTGGATTTGATTTGATAAGAAGAACAACATAATGCCTCTTACTTTACTATGGGTAGTGTCTCCAACCACAGAGGTGTACAGTGGGTTTGGAGTAGCAGAATCATTAGTTAGTCGTTCGATTTCGAATGGGAGATCAAAGAGGATGTGTAAGAAGCAAGAGAGTTGGAATTCTTGGACATATAATGTTGCAAAACATCAAAAGAGGAGTGGATTCCCTGTGCTTTCGAGCATGGTTGCGAATCCAACCGGAGAAATGGCGGTTTTGTCATCTGAGCAAAGAGTGTATGATGTGGTGTTGAAGCAGGCGGCGTTGGTAAATAGGGAGTTAAGGTCGCGTGATGATCTTGATGTTGATGTGAAGCCTGATATTGTTGTCCCTGGGACTTTATCCTTGCTTAATGAGGCTTATGATCGGTGTAGTGAAGTTTGTGCCGAATATGCCAAGACATTTTACTTGGGTAGGTTTTTGCTCCTCCTTTGTAGGACTAAGATTGCTTAGAGGTGTTTAAAGAAGAAAGACACAATTAGTTATGTATGATTGTTTTTGGGGTATGATTTCTGACCTTGTAGTTCTGTTGTTATTTTTACAGGAACTCAGCTTATGACCCCTGCGAGGCGAAAGGCTATCTGGGCAATATATGGTAAGCAAGTGGTTGTTTTGATATCTTCAACTACTAATTTATGAAACCCTGTCTGTAATTGTCTAATTGACCTGATTTCAAACTCTATATGTCTGTTTATGCTAACTAATCGCTTTAATTACGTGGAAACAATATAATATGTCGAATCTTTTGTCTGTTTTGTGCTGAAGCACATGATAGCCAGGAAGGTTGACTGTAATTGAATTGGATCAAACTATGAAAATTTAATGATTAAAATTGATATGTTGTTTATTTACCAAAGATAGTGAAGGTATTCAGGTTCATTTGGTGCAGAAAATGTTTCTTTAACTTTGGGTTTTGACAAATGGAAGCCATGTGATTGTTTCCCTCCAGAATAAGGAAAATATAAGAAATGAGAGATCAGGCAATCTTATATACTTAATATTATACTTGTTTGTGCAGTGTGGTGTAGGAGGACCGATGAGCTTGTCGATGGGCCAAATGCTTCACACATAACACCTACTGCTTTGGATAGGTGGGAGACAAGGTTGGAAGACCTTTTCAGAGGTCGTCCCTTTGATATGCTTGACGCTGCCTTATCTGACACTGTCACTAAGTTTCCTATTGATATCCAGGTTTGCCATTAATTTATTATACATGCAGTTTATGAGTTATTATTTTCATGATTTGAGTAAGAATGTTTGAGCTCGTTACTTCTATGTACTTGTAATATGTCTGAAAGATTGGGGAAAGGTAGAATTGGGTTGTGGTTTTATCAGCCCATGCCATTTAATAGTAGAAGCCTGTTCAGTTGTTTACATTTTTGGATTGCGATTCACAAAGATACTAATTCTAATATTAGTTTTGGGAAAATATCATTTGTATCATATTAATAAGATCAATTTTCCTCAATCAGGAGACTTGGTTTTGAGTCTCATAATATATTGTACTCCGTGTGTTTTTCAGTTATCCTGATTGCGTGTATTTGTTTGGCAGCCATTCAAAGACATGATTGAAGGAATGAGGATGGATCTTAGGAAGTCTAGATACAAGAACTTTGACGAGTTATACTTGTATTGCTATTATGTTGCTGGAACTGTTGGATTGATGAGTGTTCCTGTCATGGGCATAGCACCTGAATCAAAGGCGTCAACCGAAAGTGTCTACAACGCTGCATTAGCTTTAGGGATTGCAAATCAGCTCACTAATATTCTTCGAGATGTTGGAGAAGAGTAAGTGCAACTCAAATTTATGCTATACTTCCTGTCATCTTCTTGGTAACTTTTCAATGATAAAACTTGATGTCTACTGTTGCTTTAATTGCTGCATATAGTATGTGTCTTTCAGAAATAGGCATGTGCCACATGTCACTGTTGAACAATTTTAAAATGGCTGTTGATCGAATGTACTTGTACACTTTTCAATGATGTAATCATGTAATTGACTAGCTTAAAATTGTATGTTACTTGGGCTTGGGCTTGGGTATGGTGTCTGGTTTTTATCAAAGCATCAAACTCAGCTATATGATAAAGAATTTCCATGTTTTTGGTCCCATATGAAGTGTCAAGTGTACATAAACATGTCAAAGTGTCAAGAATACAACTTAGAAATATTGAAAACATAAAGTAGTAACTAGGAATCATAGAACTTTGATAATATCTTCCATGATAACTATATCTTTAAGCTCTATTGAAAATTATTGAAAGTACTTCTTGAGATGCCTTCTTATCTATTATTAGTATTTGATTTATAAAATCAACTTTCATGCAACTGCAGCACCTTACTTTGATTTTCCTTGGTTTAGTGCAAGGAGAGGACGGGTTTATTTGCCACAAGATGAATTGGCGCAGGCAGGTCTTTCAGATGAAGATATATTTGCAGGAAAGGTAACAGAAAAATGGAGGACATTCATGAAGAAACAGATCAAGCGAGCCAGGATGTTCTTTGATGAAGCAGAGAACGGGGTTTCAGAACTTAGTGCAGCTAGCAGATGGCCGGTAAGCATTCAAGAGCCTCATACATATCAAATATAATATTATAATTGGCCTGAATAATCTCAAGGCACACCAGTTTCTTAAGTAAATCCACCTAATGATCTATGATTATTCAGGAATAACTCCTAGTTTTGGCAGGCTTTTTCAATATAGTATGGAGTGTTATTTTGATATCTTTTTGGTTCTGTTGCATACAAGAGAGATTCCAATCCAAATTATTTTTAGTTACCCCCAAAATGCTTGATTATACACATCACTTTTATGTTGTATACTTCAAAAACATGCACCATAATTAGGATAAGGGAAAAAACAGGACAAGTAGCTGATCTTATGTAATTTCAGGTTTGGGCATCATTGCTTCTGTATCGTCAAATACTGGATGAGATCGAAGCTAACGATTACAACAACTTCACAAAGAGGGCTTATGTTGGCAAAGCCAAGAAGCTTCTGTCGTTACCAATAGCTTATGCAAAATCCATCGTTCCACCTCGATCAACGACCAACCTTGCAAAGGCGTAGAATTCAAGCAAACAAGTAATGACCAGAGTAGTGGATTCCATTGTAAAGCTTGAGATATGTATATACACTGAAAATACCTACATTCATAAATGTTACGAAAATTCTTTAGAACTGGTACCAGTAAAATTGACATTTTTGTTCGAAACCATCGTCAAGCTTGTACTTAATCTTGTGGTAGGATTAAAGGGGCGCCGACAACAGATTTGTAGGTTCGTGATGCGAAGAGTGTTTCTCAACAATTGTAACAAAGATGAGAAACATTTCCCATTTTGACAAGATGATATATGAATTAAAAAATGTGAAAGGAAATTCATTTATTGTTTCTATGCCCCAATTTTGCTAACCATTAATGCAAGTTAATTTGTTATTTGGTCAGATATATTGGCCTATCTAAACTAAAGTAAGACAACAAACTCAACATAATGTGCGTTTGGACTAAGCTAGGCACTAACTTTTTTTTTTTTTTTTTTTTTTTTTTGGTGTTTAAAGAGCCACAAGGGTAAGTGATGAAAATTGATCTCAAGATCACTTAGAATCGGGAGGAAAGTTTTAACCACTTGAGCTTTCCCTCATTCTTCATACACTAACAATTGTGGTGGTGAGAAGAATGTAATTAATGTACTATATTCAAGGTGTTTGGTTGCCCAAATGACTTCTCGGCCCATAAAGTTCAGGCCCATCGGCAAAGTCCAACACGGGTCCAAAGGTCCATTGGCTCAACCAAGGTTAATGAGTCCAAGAGGCCAAAAGGTCAATTGGCACACAACTGGCCCAAAGGTCAAGTGGCCCACAACTGTAAAATGACATCAAGAATGTTACACTGACACCTTCATCATTGGTGGAGCTACTATACTGTTGGATGTTAGTAAGAGTGCTATATCTCTCATAGGTTGCACTTGACCTTATGGGGTAACCACCACAACCAAGGCAACCACATCTCCTTAGTAATCATTGAAAAAGAATTGGATGGATCTCATACAATGGAAGCAAAAGTAGATGGAACATGGAAAAAATAATCCTAGAATATAACTATTTAAATATCGCTAACATAAGTTAGTCAGACAATTCAATTGCTAAATTGAACTATCAGAACTTAAACTCCAAGGCATCCTCTACCTTCTTTCATCGCGCGCTCCTCACACAACAAATTAGCTATATCTACGTCCTTTCAGATTGTCTCATGACCATCCAATTCTTATCAACCCATTAAAGGCCCCTATTTGCCTAAAGAATCTAATCAAGGATATGCTATTTGTCACATTATCATTTCAATTCTATAATATTTCGTATTAAGTTTATTAGAAGACGGGATATTGGCAGTCCATGACCAAGCGATAAACACCTAAATCTATGCACACCTTCCATTATACAAGCAAATTTTGTAAAAATTACAATAAAGTAAGTTGTCTATACATTTTATCTCCCAAGGGTTTAACTTACTACTCATACTAAATCTCCTCTAGATCTCAAATTTAGCATATTTCATAATATTGCATTTTGTTTGCAATTGGCCACACTATGTATTTGTTTGTGAAAAAATAAAATAACCTTTATAATTCTAACCTAGTAACCCCATAATATTCGAGAAACCGTTATAACAATGATCAAGTAACACAACAAAATAACCCATGATGGCGGCCACAAGAATTTATTTGATTTTTTTTTTTTTTTTGACTTAGAATTAATTTGATTAAGTTTAGAAAAATTGTGGAGAGAAAAGAGGGATATAGTTAGTTGTGACGAGTGTAACCACCTTCTGCCTTTTGGGTTTATTCATGGCGCTTGCGACACCTAACAATCTGCCACTCCTTCCAAATATGGAAAATTCTGTCAAAACTCTAATTCTACCCAATTGAGATCCCTTTTTTCCCCATTTTTTTTTTTATAACCCCTCTTCTCCAAACAATCAACTTTTTTAATAAGGTTTGAATTTAATCATCAATTTTGTTTTTATCCCATTTTCATTTTATTATTTTGGTATAATAATTGTTAATTTAATTACAGATATTAGTGGGAAATGAGTTCTTCTGGGGAAGGTCGCAAGGAAGGGTGTACTGAGTCTTCCCATAAAAAGAACTCCAAACGGCCTAAATGTAAGCTTCTTCAATTCTTCTCTGTTTTTATGTTTTTATTTTATTTGTTAATTTTCAAATTAAATTAAATATTGTGATGTTTTGTTGTATACTCTTGTTTCTATTTACAAAGATTTGCTTGAGATATAATTTTTAATATTTTGGGTGTAGTTATAAGTTAATAACTTTAATTGAAGATAAATTGTTGCAATTTGTATCCAGATATTAAGAGTTCAGATTATAAAAATGTGGGTTGGAACTTTTTCATCTACATAATTTTGGTATTATTGATTGTTGCAAAAGACTTAGAAAATTAAGCTAGGTGACATCCACTTTAAAAAAACCTTGTTAGTGGGGTATAGTTTCTTGTGTAAATTTGTTCGATAACCCTGCCTATGCTTGTGAGGAGTAGGCTAAGCACTGGATTGAAGACACCAACGATGATGGGGATATGGCAACTTATGCATATTTACGTTCTTTAGTAAGGGGTAATAAATGTTGATAATTAGAACTAATTTGTATGTAAATTTGTAAAGAAATTCTTATGTCAACTTTACCTTAAATTATCTCATTTTCATTACCACTTGGGGAATGTATAGAGTAGTAATGGAAACTTATGAAAAAAGTAAAGGTTTGGGGATCGAGTTGTATTTCCAAAGATATTAGGATGATACATTTCTTGCAAAATTACACTTAATATTTTTCCCTTTTATCACCATTTAGTACCACCTATCCAATGGATCGTTAGTGGTAGGGAAATATGAGATGTTACAAACTATCAATATGAATGGCATCTTTCTTCATGATCATGTAAGAGTATAGCAAAAAAAAAACTCTTTGAAAGAGAGAATATCTAAACTGAATGTTACCTTATTAATGTATTAAAAGTTTTGTTCAAAGGAAGGATTGGATTATAACCTCTTTTGCTCATGTTAATGAAACTTCAAACAATCAGTCCTTTCAATTGATTGGAAATGGAGAATTTACGGAGCCCTAACCCAATGGTGCTGATCATTGGAGAAAGTGCAAGCTTTGTCACCTTGTATACTTGCTTGCAAATCAAGTGGCAATTATGTAATTAAGTCAATGAAGATGCCCAGTTAGCACTTGTTGAGTTTATTATGAAAATGCCATGCCGATTGAGTAATTATGTTGACTTAATTACTAAGATCGCTTCTTGATTTACAGTTTTTGATTATCATGGTGACAATCTGGACTGTCTTAGATATTTTTCAATGATCTACCTTACATTTTGACAATTTTTCCCACGGGGAAAGAAGCATATACATCAACTGTTGGATTGTTTTCAAAATTGGAAAGTTTTATTATCTATAATTCTATACACATTCTTGTGTGCATACATTCCTGTTTTATAATGCTTGGCGTGTGAAGTTTATGGCTGTATTTCTAGGTCAATAATATGGTTTAGGGTGAGCATTGGTCTGTGATGGTGCCTAATGTGTTCAGTTTGTTGCAGATTCTAGGTTCACGCAACAAGAGCTTCCAGCATGCAAACCTATTCTAACACCACCATGGGTAAATAGTCACTGAGTTAGGCTTCTTCTGTTGATTTCCTCACCCATACACCCACACCCATAGTCCTATACCCATGCATAGCGATATAATCTGTGTAACGTCAGTATTTTAAGGTTTAGTGAGTCTTAAAAGAGTATCCTGTGCCTTTAATTTTCATGTTTAGTACCAATGTACCATCAACTTTTTACAAGTCCATTATTGAGACCGGTATATGCTGTTGTTTAGTGTGTCTGTTGAAGATTATTCAGTATGACCTAGTTAATTAATGCTAATCATCAAAATCGATTTTGTGGTGATCTGTTTGCCTTAAGATAAAATGATACTTAATTACATATACCATCAAATGCATCAAAATTTTATCATGGATTTAATCTTCAGGTATCACTCAATTCATTATACAAAATTCTAGAACAAGCAACTAGTATTGGACTTTGTACTTTTGTATTCATTAGAAAAGTGTGCATTGCTCGGTTTAATCTGTAAAACGCATTCCTTTATTACTGAAGTGTATATGTTAGATGAAAAAAGAATCAAGCATAAAGCACTAAGCTGAAAATGATTGGATGTAAAGAGCATTGAGAGCATGATAGTCTAAATATTATGTTTAAAGCTCATAGGTTGCAGCTCTTAATTCATAATTGTGAACCAGTCATTGTATAATGAATGAACATAGAAAGAAAGAAGATCAATATGACTAATACTTTCACAAGTTAGAATAGTTTCTCGTTTATTTATTTTATTTTACTTTTGATCATATATCAAATGTTGATCACTCATATTTGTGGTTAATCTATTTATCCTTGTATTGTTTCTTCAACTAATTTTTGTGGTTTGGCTCCTGATATTTTCAAAAAGTTTGCAATACTATCCTAGATAGTGAATTTCTAAGCTTTACCTGTGGTCCGTATAACCAAATTCAAAGCTTTACCTATGATATGTCTTAATTAAGCTTGCTCATTTAATTTGAATGAAAACTTTAACTGTTTGAACCTCCTATGCATTGATAATGCTATCAAAGACTCATCTAGCAGTTTAGCTGCAGAACTAGTTTTAATAATGCAATGGCTATCACTTTCTAAATTTATGTTTTTTAATTTACTATATTTCTTTGAAATTTCTTTTAACGTTTCTTTCAGGCTATAGCAATATTTGTTGCTGTTGGAATTATCTTTATTCCTATTGGGCTTGTTTCTTTGTCTGCATCAGAACACGTATGTTCAAACCATGTAGTTAATTAAATGATTAAGCTTATAAATCAACATGATAGATGACATTGGGCTCCTTTTGGCTTAACAGGTTGTGGAGATTGAGCAGCAATATGATGCAGATTGTATTCCTACTGATTATAGAAATGATAAAGTTGGCTATATTCAGAGTGTTACCACTAACAAAACATGTATTTTAAGATTGACTGTAAGTCAAATCTCTTGATTTATATGTTGAACTTAAACTTGTGCTTTGTGATGTCTGTGCCCTTTGATTTCCACTTTCTGTTTTTACTACTGGGTTTTAGATGCAGAATAAATCACCATTTTACAGTTAGATTGCAAAATGATTGCTCTTAATGCAAACAATTCGTAACTGTTGATCAATAAGCCTTATAACTCCCTTCATTCTGGATTGTTCGAATTAACTTTTGACCAAGATTATGAAAAGTTTATTGACTTTACAAGAGTGGTACACTGAAACTTAGAGTGAAAATGTTCATTTAGGACACTTAATTTGTATCTTACCAAAGATTGTAGTTCAGTCATGACTCCATGGAATCATTCAAATTGAAATGCGAAAGTATTATAAAATTATATGGTTTCGAAGAACTGAATAGCATAGCGCCAATGGCTTAATTGGTTTTCATTGGTGCGTAACAACGTGAAGAGTCTTGTTTATGTCTATCATTAACAGCTTTCTCTGAACCGCATTTGGACATTTTTCAGGTTCCAAAGCAAATGAAAAGTCCTATTTATGTTTATTATCAGCTTGAGAACTTCTATCAAAACCATCGTCGGTAAGTTTGATATGAAATAGAGGAAAGAGTATATTGGTTAGTCCTTTAATCTTAGCAGCAGAAACATCATTTTTGTTTATCATTTACACTTTGATACGGAACCATTCCTTAATTTAGCAAGATGACGTTTCTTGCCTGAGCTTTACAATGTTATCAACAATTGGAATCATTAGAGGTTTCTTATTAGATGCCATTTACCTTGATTCGATTTGGTTTAATGTTACTAATAATTCCACTAATCTTACAAGTAGCAATGTCAAATTGCTAAATTATAGCTCAACGTTGAAATATACATCACATATTTGCTAGTGTTTTCGGTTGAGATCCATGTAAATTCTGACTAAAGTTCATATCAGCTATATCATAGAGCCTTTGTTTCAGATATGTAAAAAGCAGAAATGACAAACAATTGAGAAGCAAGGCTCACGAACAGTCAACGAGTGGATGTGATCCAGAAGCAACCTTGGCCAGCCCAGACAAAGCTGTTATTGTTCCCTGTGGTCTTATTGCTTGGAGTTTGTTCAATGATACGTTCCAGTTTTCTTATGACTCAAAGTTGGTTGATGTAAGCAAGAAAAATATAGCCTGGGATAGTGATCGTAAGCACAAGTTTGGATCTGATGTCTATCCCCAAAATTTCCAAAGCGGAGGCCTTATAGGGGGTGGCCAACTCAATGCCAGCATGCCTGTAATGTTGATTCTCATACTACCCTTTTTAACTTCTTATTAATATTTTTTAATCTATGCAGTGTCCTCTTAAACCTCCATCAATAACATGGTGATCCAGTCATAGTGCTCGTTCCCCTTTATGTTTCATGCTAAACATAAATGTAAGTCTTATTAATATGATTTTTCTTCCTATCTTGCAGCTTAATGAACAAGAAAATCTTATTGTATGGATGCGAACTGCAGCACTTCCAACATTTAGGAAGCTATATGGGAAGATAGAGCAGGATCTGTATGCTAATCAGGAGTTATCTATCACTGTACAGAATAATTACAATACATATAGCTTTGGAGGCAAAAAGAGTTTGGTCCTTTCTACTACAAGCTGGATTGGCGGGAAGAACGACTTCCTTGGTGTAGGATATCTCACTGTTGGTGGTCTGTCCTTATCCTTTGCAGTAGGATTTATACTGGTTTATATCCTCAAGCCAAGGTCAGTGATAAATTTGATTATTAATTCTATTCCATCCTAAATTCTCTCTTTTTTTTTGTCCGGGTGATACCAATAATACTTCCATGTTCTATCCAATTTCACTTTTCAATCTTGGCTTCCTTTACGCTATCATCTAATGCAGGGTAATTCTATGGGAAAGGGTGGTAATTATTTTGGCACGACGAAATTATGTCTTTTCATGCTATATGTGCTTGTGGTTTTACCTTTGACTCCATCATGATATAAAATTTGGAGTTAATGTACATATTCTGCTGCTGTCACACCCATCTAAGAACAATATTATCAGCGTAGAACTCAACAATGATAAAATAGAAATATCTTTTCATTAGCCTGACAATTACATAACTGAGGAATTTCTAGCTGATTCCCGGGATTGACTTACAGTACTACTTAGTCAGGATACTTTTAAATACCCCTACATATACCCAAATCAGAAGCAATCAACGTGAGATTGGACTAAAAAGACCGATCTCTGGGATTGTTTTTTCAATCTCCTATCAAATGTATCTCATCAATTCGGTTACAAGATTTATCAGTTTGTCTGCTAAGATATGATACCACAGCAATTTTAATCTGTCATTGGAACTTCAATACGAGTATTATCTTTTCCACGTTTTCTTCCTATATAATATTGTATAATGCTTGGATTTTTTTGAATAATGCAGGACAATCGGAGATCCCTCGTATCTATCTTGGAACAGAAATCCAGCAGGACACTTGACTACTTAATCAGTTCTGTTTCGCTACTCTATTTATTTGTATTGGTTGCAAACTTTAGAATATCTTAATGGCTCGAGTATGATTTTATATAATTTTTTGATGAGATAATATATCTTATAATATATTTAAATCATTCTTTTTGGAGGTTTTGTGGTCATCCTTTTGTGTCCTAAGCGAATATTTTGTATGTAATTATGGTCTGAAGAGTAAAGGCATCACTGGCCATAGTTTGTTAGAGAGTACTCTACGTTTCCAGTGCAGCATTAAGGAGGATTTGTTGATACAGAAATCTGATTATCTTGCTTTGCCATTTTATTTGTTTTAATTTCATTCATTTTAATTTTTTGGCAAAATTGGCTCCAACCACGCTAAATATAAGTTGAGTATGTTGGATGCAGTAAATTTAAACAAGCAGAATTGAGATTCTACTGAATTTTGTTTCAGACATTTTTGACGTCAATTAATGAATTCGTATTCTTCATATAACTACTACGTATTTGACCTAAAAAGCAGAACTATTGACTGACCATAAGTAAATCATCCTCAATCCTCACTAACCTCAAATAAAGGTGGAGGGAGACCCCAGCCCATTAATCAGGCTGATTTGCAAAATCTTCCCCCACTTTTTGAAAGGTTGTTATGTACACCCGGGTGTACGGTGCAACCAAGGGTATTTGTTTGCTCATTTGATGATAAAATGAGCAATAATCATCGAAATGAGTAAACAATGCCCTTGGGTGCACCATGCACCCGGGTGTATATAAGAATTTTTACCCACTTTTCGCGATTGGTTCTGCTTCGTGGTTTCCGTGTGGTGCGCTTTTGGGGAGGTCCCAAGTTTGTTTGAAGCAACAATTTTCATCATCGCCATCTGAGTTAGTGTGTCACTGTAAAAGTGAACTGATCGACGGTCGATTTGCCGCCTTTAACCCCCTGCCGTTGTTTGTGACCTGTTGTTCCTTAGTGTGGGGTCTCAAGGTGGCTGTAGCTTTTAATAGTGTTGTCTGCGATTTTATGCCGGCTTCTATCTTCGTGTGGGTTTATATAGCCGTTTTATTCTGTCTTGGTGGTGGTGCCATGGCCACCGATTCACTGTGCTTACTTTTGCGCTGTGTGTTTTTTTGTTTTCTTTGTGAAGTAGTTGGTTAATCTTTCTCTCTTCTTTAGAAGTATTGTCATGGATTGCCGAAGATTACTTAGTGCCCTTTCACATGTTCACTTGAACGATGATTTTGACGAAACTATTATCAACTTTGCTAAAAACAATTGCCTCCGGAACATCCTTAATCAAAGGCCTTAAAAGAGGAGGACAATATTCACTTTAAGAAAGGTGAAGTCGTTCTTGTTGGGGCTAATTATGACAGAGGATTGAAACTTCTGTGCTTTTGTCTACCACGAGATGAAGATGATTGTGTTCTTTTATGGAACCTTGCCATAGCCCTGAGCTAAACCTTGCAGCTTGTGCCCTAAGACTCCGTGATTTTGAACAAACTAAAGAGCTCTGCTCACTAGTCATTATGCTTGATGGTAACAATCCTAATGCCCTTTACAGGATGGCCTTAGCCAAAATCAAGCTCAATCAACTTGAAGAGGCCCATGAAAACCCTGGCAAAGTAGCTAAGGCCGAGCCTAAAAACTAGAACATCCTTCGTTAGATGGAGAAGGTGGAGGGGTTATAGAGCAAAGCTAGCAAGGGGTACTGAGGATTCCGACTTGCCCAACACCATCTTCAACAAAAAGGGAAAGATCTCTGTCTATTTAGATTCTAACAGGTTGCCAGGTAGCAATGTTCAGAGTGATGTTACGGCTTTACCCACCATGGATGCTACTGATCAGATGATGGTAGAGAGCCTTATCACTACCTAATGATTTCACCCCTTTGGAAAGGGGGACGATGATGCTATTAGCCCTCCAATAAACCAAGAATCTAGACAAGCTAAGGATAAGGGACCGAGAAAATGCCATATGTTCCTTAACGGTTCGAGAAGAAATCAGTCCCTTAAGATTTCCGAGTTGTCCTATTTGGATCTCTGCCAAGGGAAAACCTTAAGTTTCTTCAAACATTCTCCTGTTTCATGGATGAGTGTACGAGTAAAGGAAAAGGCAACCTATGATGTGTGAGCTGAATCTCACAAGGCAAAGGACTACAAAGCTCCATAAAATTTGTCCACGCACACTAGGATGGTGGGTCCAAAAAAGAGGGGTCGCGACAAAAAGGGAAAAAGGAACAAGGCCAAGCGACCCCCAGATGCCGCCGAGGTCAGCCATGTTGTTGGGCTACCTAAGCCAAACACCATTGCCGTTGAGAAGTTAGATGATGAACCACCACTAGCCTAACTTCTAGCAACATCGAGGGGTCAAACATCGAGGAAGGGAGTGAGATACCTGCGAGAGATTTAACCACCACTGATGACATCGATGAAGTGGAGTCCGTAGGTTCTAATGACGCAGACCCCATGACTGTTGATCCCGACCATGTGTAGTCTTCTACACCATGCCTAACCTTGACGTTTTCTGCCATGCCAAGAAAACATGGAAGGCCTATTAGGTCAAGGGTGAAGAACAAGAAAGGTAAAAGGTATCCCTATTTTTGCTTTTGCGAGATCAGGAAACACAAGGGAATAAGTTTGGAACAACTTATGGCTAATGCCGGCGATGGATCTTCTCAATCCCCTTATATACTTTGTGAAGCAATTCATAATGTCTGTAACCCCAATCCCCTTTTTAGTTCTTGTATTAGTTTGGTTAAGAAAGTCAAGTATTCTCCTTGTAATCTTAAATCAGTTGGGAGTTAGCCTCCTTTTTGGACTATTATAAAAAAAAAGGGAAATTATCAATAGTACACCCAATGCCTTTATCAATAGTAAATCTGCTAAACTATTGTTTATCAACGATACATTCAAGGTTTTATACCATTATCAGCTGTACACCAACCGTTAGAAAAACGTTAGTTTTGGCTTTTTTAACTTAAAAACTGACACATGACGGCCTGTGATTGGTCCAAAAAAATAAAAATAAAATAAAATAAAATAAAAATTTTGAAAAAGTTAGATTAATAAAATAAGATAATTTTTTTTTTTAATTTTTAATTATGATAATTTTTTTTAAACAACATTATTTTATTTTTTTTCCTTTTTTTTCCTACCTCCTTCCTTTCTCTTTCCTCCATCCTTCCTCCTCCTCCTCCATAACTTCCAGCAGCCAACCAGACATCCTACCCCCCCTCTGACCACCCTTCCCCTTCTCTTTCTACCTTCCTTTCTCTTTCCTCTTCCCTTCCACCACCATATATTCCTGCTACAAGTAACCAAATCCGGCAAGAAGTGTGGATTGAACGGTGATGGTGGGTGGCGAATTGTGGTGGCGCGAATTGGAGATTGGGTGCAGGGGATTTGGTGTTGCTATTGGGTATGTTATTTGTGGTCGAAAGTGGTCGGACAGTGGACAACTTCTACAGTTGTCGGCCACTTATGGTGGGTGTTGAAATGGAGTAGCGGTGATAAGGGCCTTTATCAATAGTACACCTGCTAAACTATTGTTTATCAGCGGTACATTTAAGGTTTTATACCATTATCAGTTGTACACCTATCGTTAGACAAACGTTAAAAAAACGTGAGTTTTGGCTTTTTTAACTTAAAAACTGACACGTGGCGGCATGTGATTGGTCCAAATTTTTTTTTTAAAAAAAAAAGTTAGATTAATAAAATAAGATAATTTTTTTTAATTTTTAATAATTTTTTTAAACAACATATATTTACACTCCCCTAAAAACCCGAAAGCCCTAAAAAACCCCCCCACCACCCCTGGAAAATCCTGATCGACCCTCCCCCACCCTCGAAAACCCTAGCGGTGGTGGTGGGGGAAAGCCAATTGTGATTTTTTCAGGGCTGGTGGTGGAGTTTTTTAGGGCTTTCGGTTTTTTCGGATTGTTTTGAGGGTTAGAGAAAGGGAGGGTGTGGATCTAAGATTTCGGGGAGGGAAAACAACAGGGGTGGGAAGCTAGGAATGGCGGCGGCGCCGGAAGCGGGGGAGGGGGCTTAGGTTTTCGGGGGATGTTCCGGCGTCGGAATTGGGGGAGGGGGCTTGTTTCTTGCGCAACAATGCGTGAGTTTGGGGGAAGGTGGGATCGGTCTTGGGTGTGGGTAGGGCTGACAGGGTGGTGGTCACCGACAAGGGGGAGGCCTAGTGCCGTTGGGATGAGGTGGTCCGGGCGCCGACTAGGGGACGGGGACTGGCTGGGGTGGGCAGTGGTGGCTGCCCTGGCTGGGGTGTGGGTTTTTTTTTTTTAAAGTTTTTTTAAAATTTTTTGAAGTTTTTTTAATAATTAATTAAGTAATTAAAAGGGAGCCAATAAAAAGATGCTACGTGGCATACTTAACCCTTAATGACTAACGGAGTTAACGTCCGTTAGTCATTAAGGGCATATGGTGAATTATCGAAGTACTAAGGGGTATATGGTGTATTTAGAAAGTTTTATGGGTATATGGTGAATTGTCAAAGTACTCGAGGGTATTTGGTGAAATAACCGTTAAATATATTGTGCTTACACCTACGTAATGTTACCACAAAAGGGCTTACTACGTAATGTTAATATGTTAATGCTCATCTATGATTACATTAATCTACATAATTTGCAAAAGGTGAAAACAAGTGAGGTTTTAGAAGACTTTCAAACCAGGCTTCAAAGAATTGGATATGAAGCATAGGAATTCCAACTACGAAAAGGCACCAAATGAACCCAATTATTTCTTTTGGCAACTATACTTTTAAACTTCACCATCTCTTCAAGACTTCCCCTGAGTAGCAGCAGAATGCTTTGGCATTTTCTTTGTGCTAGCTGCCAAGAAATTAAAACTCGAATTAGCAGCTCATTCAATCAGCTTAAGAAATTAGATCTTATTGAAACGACCATAGTAAGATATCAAACAGTGCCAAAAAAAAGGTAGGAATGAAGAATTGAAGAGGGTGATTGAGAACATATACCATCCTCAACATCCTTCATCTGGTAATAATGAGGAGCAATCTCAATCAACCAATCAGGTTTTAACTCAGTTACCTATAATTTAAATCAAGAGTGAACAATTTACGAAAACATATATTTGAAAAGAAAAAGAAATCTCGCAGTTGCTAGAACTTGTAAGTGGCCATTGCTAGAACTAATTATCTAAGCTTTCTCAACGAAAGATCGAAAGATGAACTTGAGTTAGCTCCCTTATGCTTAATTGACTTAAAATGCCATGAGAATAGGAATTTCTACTCAAGGGAATGCTCATGTTATCATGATTATGCTTTAACACT